CTATTGGATACACATTGTCTGTCAGTAATTATGGGTTACCGTTACTCCCTAAGAACTTGGAATTAAAAGAAAAAAGTGTTTTTTGAGAACTCAGAGGCAAGATCAGTGTCTTTAGTGGAAATGGGTGAGATGAGCAGTCATCAGAAGGGGAGAGGCTACTAGCTCTCCCTTGCACAAGCCATTCCCTCTGCCTGCAACTTGCACCGTCCTTAACCCCCTCAGGTCTCAGTCCAGGGTTACAGCTCCAGGGAAGCCTTCTCTAACCTCCCTCCTAGGTCAAAGCCCCATTATAGCATCTGGACCTCTTAGCACCCTATCACATTACATTTAACATTGGTATATGTGATTGACTGCTGTCTGTCTTCTTTACCTGACCACCTGTGCCAGGGAGGAAGGGGCTGTTACAGTTTTTGTTCACCATTGTCACCCGAGTATGTAATGCAGTGCCTAAAATATAGTTGGCCCTAGTATTTTTTTTTTTTAATGAATAAAAAAAAGTCAAAAAACAAACAAACAAAAAAAGTCAATGTGTCCATCTAGAGGAGGAAAGAGAGAGATGGTGAGCCTTAGGAGCACCAAAAAAAAAAAAAGCAAAAAGCATCCAAGGGACTTTCCTGGTGGTCCAGAGGTTAAGAATCTGTCTGCCAGTGCAGGGGTCAAGGGTTGATCCCTGGTCTGGGAATTAAGATCCCACATGCCATGGAGCAACTAAGCCCATGCACCACAACTATGGAGTCCTTGTGCCCTGGAGCCCATGCTTGGCAACAGGAAGCAGCCCCTGCGACCAGAAGCCCATGCACCACAACTAGAGAGATAATAAAATACACACACACACACACACACACACACACACACACACATATATATAAAATGAACATCTAAGTGTTGCCAGGGCCAGGGGGCCCTGGAAGGGGTCCCCCTTCCTGCAACACAAGCACTCTCAAAAGCAGAAAGAAGCTGAAAACTGGACCCTCTTCTGACTTCTACAATTAATATATCCCATTTACACTACTTATATATCTATGAGTGTCTCTGTGTTAGTTGCTCAGTTGTGTCCGACTCTTTGTGATCCCATGCATTTAGATCACCAAGCTCTTCTGTCCATGGTATTCTCCAGGCAAGAATACTGAAGTGGGTTGCCATTCCCTTCTCGGGAGAATCTTCCTGACCCAGGAGTTGAACCTGGGTCTCTTTCATTGCTGACAGATTCTTTTTCATCCACACCCCACACCTTGTGATATCTCCATTCTCCGATCAGGGATTGAACCTGGGCTTCTTGCAATGGGAAGTACAGAGTCCTGTTGGACTTCCAGGAAATTTTTCTATGTGTGTGTATATAATTCTGCCCTTTCCTATCAATAAAGAAGGAAATGGCAACCCACTCCAGCATTCTTGCCTGGAAAATCCCATGAACAGAGGAGCCTAGCGAGCTGTAGTCCACGGGTCACAAAGAGTTGGACATGACTGAATGCACACACTTTTCCTATCAATACTTATTACATTTTTAGAGGTGGGCAGGGCCTCTTTCCACTTTTAATCATTTTTGTTTTCCCAAGAGTGTCTAGTTTATCTTAAACGACATATCAGGACGGTTGCTCCAGACTTCTCCAAATCCTACCCACCTCCTCAACTTTTCTAAATGTCTTAGTTCTACATGGGCTTCCTAGGTGGTGCTAGTGATAAAGAATCCTCCTGACAATGCAAGAGACCCAAGAGATGCAGGTTCAATCCTTGGGCTGGGAAGATCCCCTAGAGGAGGAAATAGCAACCTATTCCAGTATTACTGCCTGGAAAAATCCCATGGACAGAGGAGCATGGTGGGCTATAGTCAGGGTCGCAAAGAGTTGAACACGACTAAGCACAGGTGTATTCGTGTGCACACACACATTCTCCATGCAAATACTATGGGTTCCTCCCCCCGCCCCAGCACCAAACAGATATGTTCATATGGCTAGTGTTCAGTTCAGTTTCTCAGTCGTGTCCAACTCTTTGTGACCCCACGGACTGTGGCATGGCCAGGCTTCCCTGTCCATCACCAACTCCCAGAGCTTGCTCAAACTCATGTCCATTGAGTCGGTGATGCCATCCAACCATCACATTCTCTGTTGTCCCCTTCTCCCACCTTCAATCTTTCCCAGCATCAGGGTCTTTTCCAATGAATCAGTTCTTCACATCAGGTGGCCAAAGTATTGGAGCTTCAGCTTCAGTCCTTCCAGTGAATATTCAGGACTGATTTCCTTTAGGATTGACTGGTTTGATCTCCTTGCAATCCAAGGGACTCTCAAGAGTCTTCTCCAACAGCAACAGTTCAAAAGCATCAAATCTTCAGTGCTCAGCTTTCTTTATAGTCCAACTCTCACATCCATACATGACTATTGGCAAACAGTAGCTTTGACTAGACAGACCTTTGTCAGCAAAATAATGTTTCTTCTTTTTGATATGCTATCTAGGTTGGTCATAGCTTTTCTTCCAAGGAGCAAGCATCTTTTACTTTCATGGCTACAGTCACCATCTGCAGTGATTTTGGAGCCCAAGAAAATAGTCTGTCACTGTTTCCATTGTTTCCCTATTTGCCATGAAGTAATGGGGCCAGATGCCATGATCTCAGTTTTTTGAATGTTGAGTTTTAAGCCAGCTTTTTCACTCTCCTCTTTCACTTTCATCAAGAGGCTCTTTAGTTCTTCATAATGGCTAGTGTAGATGCCCCCAAAGTAACAGAGATAAGTGTGGGCTTCAACCAGTCACTTTCCAGCCAACAATGGCTTGTGATTTTCATTTTCAGTCTGTGTTACAGCCTGGGACAAAAGCACTAAGAGGAGAAAGGGATCTCAATCAGCTTCTTCATTGAGAGTTCCCTGTATCTAACTTGGGCTTCCCTGGTGGCTCAGAGGTTAAAGTGCCTGCCCGCAATGCGGGAGACCTGGTTTCGATCCCTGGGTCCGGAAGATTCCCTGGAGAAGAAAATGGCACCCCACTCCAGTATTCTTGCCGGGAGAATCCCATGGACAGAGGAGCCTGGTGGGCTACAGTCTATGGGGTCGCAAAGAGTCGGACACGTATCTAACCTGTCTAATCTATCTCTGAAATCCGTCCATCCATCCAATCAGGATCCCAGCAGGAGAGCTTCCCAGGGTCCTCCACGCCACCTCCCACATCTGGATGACCTGCGCGCTCAGCTGTTCTCCTCAGACGCGCTGCCCAGAACCCAGTCGGCGGCCAGAAAACCCTTAGGGCGGGGCTGGCAGTAGAGGTCACGTGAGCGGCTGTGACCAATGGGAAGTGCACACGGCGCACAGCGCCCAGAGGCGGTGTCTGGCGCTGGGGGGTGGCGCTCCTTGTTCGCTACCTGCTTCAAACCCGATTGAGAGGGAGGGAGGCCAGGTATTGGGAGTACACACCCCTCCAGTGACCCTGGCTTTAGCCTTCTCAACGTCATAATAACTCAGTGTCCCTCACACTGCCCCCTTCATTCTGCTCATCCCCATTCCTTCAGCGATAAAAGGAGAGAAACGCGCTGTTTCTTGCTCAGTCTGTGAGGGAAGGAAATGGGAGTGGGGGTGGGGCGCGGCTTGTGGCGTCTATCGCCTCTGACTGAGCGGTAGCTGGCGGCCGTTGCAGGCAGTGTTGGCGCACCAGACAAAAATGCCAGACACAAATAAGATTTTACATACGTAATAAAACGAGAACTCTATGGAAGGAAAAAATATGCAGATTAGGCTGTTGGCTGTCACTCTAACTCAAACGTAGTAGCATTAGTAATTATTCACCCTGCTTCTGCTTTTTTTGAGGTGAAACTAATTAGGAAAACTTTTGGGGTAAATGTGGCAACCGCCCACAGTGCACCTCAGTTTCATAAGGATCGGCGAGGATTACGTGATATAGTGAGTGTGAAAACATTGGAAAAGGTTTGCAGTAAAATACAAGTTCTAGAATAGTGCACAACTTAGTGAATATACTAAAAGCTACTGAATTGTGGCTCAGACAGTAAAGCGTCTGCCAACAATGCAGGAGACCCGGGTTTGATCCCTGGGTCGGGAAGATTCCCTGGAGAAGGAAATGGCAACCCACTCCAGTACTCTTGCCTGGAAAATCCCATGGACGGAGAATTCTGGTAGTCCATGGGGTCGCAGAGTCGGACACGACTGAGCGACTTCACTTTCTTTCTTTCACTGAATTGTGTGTTTTAAAAGTTTGAACTTTATGGTACGAATTACATCTCAACTTAGAAAAACGAAATATATGTTCTATAAGGTAATCATAGGTGACACAGTCTCAGGTTTGGAGATATCATTGTTGACACCTGTCCAGATGAAAATTCAAAATTTTGGTCAATTGAGTTCTTTTTAGAAAATGGATACCATATTTGATGTGGTGGCCAGAGTCTCATCAGGATGCTGGAAATTTCCACTTTCTTAGTGGCATGTAATTCTTTTAAAGTGGAAAATAGTTTGAGATTAAATCCTTTCAGGTGTCTAGCATGTTTTTAATCTAAAAGTCTAAAACCACATGCATTTAACTCTAACATTCTTTAATGCTTTTCAAAACACAGCACTTTAATTTTGCAACATTTTGGGACATTTAGGAATCATACATTTTTGAAAAACAAAATTTCAAGTTCATCTTTCCCTCATATTCTTTCCTATATTGACAATATCAAGAAGGAATCGACACTGAATTTTCCTTACCTTAACAATGCAGACATTTTCAGGTCAAATTTAAAGGTATATTTTTATTAAAAGATGAATTTGATCTGTTTTAGTGAATTTGGGGTCATCTTAATTAGTTGTCACATCAGTGATTCAGGGCTAATAGAAAGTAGGAGACTTATACCATGAAGCAAAGTCAGTTTTAGATTTTTACTATGTAAGAACTTCGATGAATAGATTTACACTACTTCTTAATATTTAAATACTCCAGTGCCCAATTTTATATCTTCAATACCAGGAAAAATACAAGCTAAATAGAATATTTAACTTAGTTTAATACAAATAATATCTTACCTGGGTTCCTTGACATGGCTGAAACTGGCTGGGAGCTGACAAGTTGGGTCATGTAAACATTCTGAAAACTGTATTTCACCCACAGTGATTTGCAACAATTTGTTACATTGGGAGAGGGATTCAGAAGTTCTTTAGGTTCATAAACAATGGCATCATGTTTTTTCTTCTTCATGTTTCTTTCCTGTTAAAAATATTTTCAGAGGATTTCTCCCATTTCTCAGTATATATTTGGTATGATAAATGAATACTGATATTTTAACACAAACAGCCTTTATTCCATATATAAAAAGGTTTCGCATTTGGGTGGAAGATGGGACAGGGTGATCTGTAAGTTCTTTTTCAACTGAAGTAAACATCTATGTTGTTTGGTCTTTAGATCTGATACATCACCCTGTATCCTCATCTCCCAGCAGTTTCTCTTCATCTTAATAGTTACATTCCATCCAGGGAACAGTCTTAAATTAGTACACAGAGAAGAGAGACAAATTATTAATAGTATAGCCAAAAGAAAAATAGATTTAAAAAACCTAGACAGGTGGGGAAGACTGGAGATGGAATATATTCTTCATCCTACTTCAGGGTGTGTGTGTGTGTGTGTGTGTGTGTGTATTTCCTCCCCAGAATGGCTCTTGTATTCCACTCCATATACACACAGTCCATCTCTGCAGATGCCAATGAAGGCTATTCTGTGCACGCTCCTCCCTTTTCTTCTAATATTAAAGCACCAATCGGAGAAGGCAATGGCACCCCACTCCAGTGTTCTTGCCTGGAGAATCCCAGGGATGGGGGAGCGGTGGGCTGCCGTCTATGGGGTCGCACAGAGTCGAACGCGACTGATGCGACTTAGCAGCGGCAGCAGCAGCAGCAGCAGCAGCAGTAAAGCACCAACCCAGCAAGTTGAAGAACTGATGATTTTCATTGTCTATCAGTGTACTTACTTATCTTATTTTAAAGGTTGGCCACAGAGCTTCACTTGCTATTTTACCTTCTAAATCTAAGCAGTTAACAGAAAATAAAAGAATGACTGAGAGGTCAAACCATAAAAAACAACTAAAGGTAGCAGAGGAGGCCTTCTGAAGCATTGGGTCAGTACTGTCCAATAAAAATGTGTGAAACACATATGTAACATTAAGTGAAAGGGAATAGGTAAAATGAATTTTATTTAATTTTATTTTTTAGGTGTATCTATTTTTTTTTTAATTGAAAACCAAGTGAAATTAACTGATTTGCTTTAAGGAATATGCTATTTTAATTACTGTACATTTAGCTATTATCAATATTTGCTATGCCTATAATTTATTAATTAGTAAAACACATTTAAAAATCATCAAAATCCATTTCCTAATATTAGTTTAAATGGGATAACTATGTCTTACTGGAAATCTTTTTTTTTTAAATGAGTTTATTTTTTTTTCCCAATTATTATTAGTTGGAGGCTAATTACTTTACAATATTGTAGTGGTTTTTGCCATACATTGACATGANTTTTTTTCATTTATTTTTATTAGTTGGAGGCTAATTACTTTACAATATTGTAGTGGTTTTTGCCATACATTGACATGAATCAGCCATGGATTTACATGTATTCCCCATCCTGAATAAAATGAATTTTAATATGTTTTATTTAACCAAATGTATCCCTAAGTAAATTTCAGTGTTATCATTTCCACAGTTAGTCAATATAAAACTTATTAATGAAATATTTTATATTCTCATTAGTGTAAGTCTTCAAAACCTGGTATATATTTTATAGCGCATCTCAGTTCAAATTAGCACACTTTGGGTGCTCAATAGCTACATTTGGCCAGTGGCTACTGTATTGGACAATAAATATGATAAAGCTGTATTGCAGCTTTAGAGGAAGAATCTTGACATTGCTAGATAATTGAGAATAAAGTATCTAATTATGGCCTGTTAAAGTAAATAATTGAGCATATTAGACTTCATTTTCCCCAAATAGCTTTTTATTATAATTATTCCCAAGTAATTCTGTAGGATGTTATGAGATATTTATTGAAACATAATCAGTGCTAATTATACAGCCATCTTTTGGTTTCCATGGAGGATTGATTCTAGGATGCCCTTTGGATATTACATCCACAGATGTTCAAGTACCTTATATAACATGGCATAGTATTTGCATATAACCTATGCACATCCTCCCATATACTTTAAATTATCTCTGAAATGAAGTGCTAGTCGCTCATTCATGTCTGACTCTTCGCAGCACCATGGAGTGTAACCCACCAGACTCCTCTGTCCCTGGAATTCTCCAGGCAAGAATACTGGAGTAGGTTGCTAGGCCTCCATATCTAGACTACTTATAATGCATAATACAATGTAAATGCCATGTAAATAGTTGTAAATATAATGTAAATAATATGTAAATAGTTGCTGGCCCACAACAAATTCCAAGTTTTTTTCTTTTTGAAACTTTCTGGAATTATCTTTTCTGAATATTTTCTATCTGGTGGTGGTGGTGGTTTAGTTGCTAAGTCGTGTCCAACTCTTATGACCCCATGGACTGTAGTCTGCCAGGCTCCTCTGTCCATGGGATTCTCCAGGTAAGCATACTGGAGTGGGTGCCACTTCCTTCTCCAGGAAATTTTCCTGACCCAAGAATTGAACCCAGGTCTCCTGCATTGCAGCAGATTCTTTACCAACTGAGCTCCAAGGATGCAGAACCGGTGAATACAGAGCACCAGATATATTTTTCATCTAAAATTTATTTTTAAATATATCTAAGAAAAACACTAAACTCTTGTTAGTAACAACTATACTAACAGTATAATTGCCTTTACAAAATGCTGTGACTACCTGAAAACTTGAGGAAATCCAAGGATTCTCAAAAGCATAGTCATGGGAGGTATATGGAAGTCTAAGTAATTGTTGAGCTGATATATGTTGTCTATTTAATAAACATTGGTTTGCATTAGGTATCTTCTTATTTCAAGGCATAGTAATGATATTTTTCATTTAAATTGTTTATCTACTTTGGAGGTTGATCTAATTTAATGTTTTAAATGTATGTGAGTCAAGTTTTTATTATTTCTTGCAGCAACTAATTCATCTGTGGGTTCATATTTTGTTGTCTATGTGTGGTAGGCTGAAAAATTGTCCCCCCCGAAGATGTCCACATCTTAATTCCCAGAACCAGTGAACATTATCCTTTATACAGCAAAATGGACTTTGCAGATGTGGTTAAGGCTATTGAAAAGCAGAAATTATTCTGGGTTATGTGAACCTGAACTAATCATATGGGTCTTTATAAGAGGGAGGCAAGAGAGTCAGAGAAGGAGATGTAACAGTGGACGCAGAGGTCAGAGTGATATTCGAAGGAATGCAGGCAGCCTCTAGAGGCTGAAAAAGGCAAGGAAACTGATTCCCTCCTGGAGCCTCCAGAAGGAATGCAGCCTTGCCAACCCATTTTAGATTTTCTACCTCCAAAACCATGAAATAATAAATTTGTGTTGTTTTAGGCCATCCTATCTGTGGTCATTTGAAACAGTAGGAAGAGAAAACCTATATAGTATGTTGATTTGAGGGCATATTATATTACTGCCAGTACATGATTTGTGTGTGTTAGTCACTCAGTTGTGTCTGACTCTTTTCGATCCATGGACTGTAGCTCACCAGGCTCCTCTGTCCATGGAATTCTCCAGGCAAAAATACTGGAGTAGGTCACCATTCCCTTCTCCAGAGAATCTTCCCAACCCAGGGATCGAACCCAGGTATCACACACTGCAGGCAGATTCTTTACCACCTGATCCACCAGGGAAGCCCACATGATAATTTTAAAAGTGTTCATTGTACAATAAACACAAGAGTCCATATTATGGTGTTTTCATATTAATATCCAATTATAATAATGAGGATTGTTGAATTAAAAATAGCTACTTATTGGTAGCAGCAACTGTAAATTAAGCTACAAATCTTTATAATGAGCAATATATGTTATCAATAGTAAGAAAAACATACTGATCCCCTACTGAATGCTAAGCATTACACTAGACACTAGCAGTCAACAAGACAAAAATGGTCCCTTCCCTTGTGGAGGTTAGCAGAGGAGTTAGGCATGTACATTAATCAGAGTCATGCCAGGTGTTATGTAAATCTACCAAAGGGAGTGTACTTAACCTAGTCTGGATGGCTAGGAAGGATTCATATATGAATGATGTTTAACTGGGACCTTAAAGATGACTTGGAATTGGCCAGGAGGGAAGATGAGGGAAAGAAAAAGAATATCTCAGAGAGCTGGAACACCAAATGTAAAAAGCCCAGCAGCGGTAAAGAATTCAAGGCATTTGAAGAACTAAAAATAAGAAGTGAAGAGTTTTCAATTCAAGGTAGTTGAGACCTTCCCCATACCACTTCTCTCAAAAATAAAAAGGAGGGCAAAAACCCCCCACAAATTTCATCTTTATTTAAAGTTGATAATCACTCCAAACTACACCACATGAAAATGGAAAATGGATGGAGGGCAGCAAAGGACTTAGAAGACCCAAGGAAGGTCAAATCTCAGTGGTGAAGAAGGAGAAACCACGGAGAAGCAAGGCACATCACCAGGAGGAACCCTGAAAAACCTCCAGAATTGGAAGCAGGTAAAACGCAGGAGGAAGTTAGAGGAGTGGAGATGGAAGGACTGTAGCACTGGAGAGATTTGTTTGAAAATATGTTTAAGAAAGCGATCAGATCCCCAGGTCCTGACTCCCACCTGATATAATCAGACTACTACTTTTACCATCATGTGAAACAAGAAATGTCACCACTAATATAAGTAAACCAAAGGAGTTCTAATGTGGGGCATAGAACCAGGCATAGATCAGAGTGGGAGTGAGACATCGTAATGAAAAGAGAGGAGCTAAGTCTGAATTTGAAAATGAGACACCAGATCTCTTCTTATTCTCATAAAGAACATCACAGCCACATTCTAATCTCTAGCAGAAAATAAACGGTGCTTCTCAGGAGAAAACAACCATGCCAGAAAAAAGAACCACAGACACTGACATTTAAGGGACCCAGAGGAACAGCCTACAGTGAACCCCTTCAATTGACAAGACTCACACACACACTTGTGGCCCCCGATCAGCTCTGAGGCCATTTCTGAAAATATAAGTGGGCCACAATTCCCAGATACTGGATGTGTGTGTGTGTCAATCGCTCAGTCAGGTCCAACTCTTTGCAACCCCACGGACTGTAGCCTGCCAGGCTTCTCTGTCCATGGAATTCTCCAGGCAAGAATACTGGAGTGGATTGCCATTTCTTCTCCAGAGGAACTTCCCAACCCAGGGATTGAACCCTGGTCTGCTGCATCTCAGGCAGATTCTTTACCATTTGAGCTACAGGGAAGTCTATAAATCCTGGATTTATGTTGAAGATTAACTTCAACATAAAATAATTTAAAATCTCCAATACGTAAGAATCGGGGGAGAAAGGAATCGCAAGAAACAGAGAGGAAGCGAGGAGCATAAAAATACTTCAAAAAAAAATCATAG